CAATTTCAAATCACAACAAAATTTATTCTTTATTTTTAAACACATACAACACCAATTTAATTAAATAAACTGCTCAACCAATTCTATGCATGTCAATCCCTACTTGATGGTCAGCACCTACAGTAATTAGGGAGTGTTCATTATTTATACCCGGGGTTGGTACCGAAGAGAAATGGGTTGGGTAAGCCATTTTTCTGGGGTATGAAGGGTTGGATAAATATTTTTTGAACAAAGCCTATGGTTTGGTAAATTATTTTCAATACAAACCTTCAATTGAACAAAATATGAAGATCCTTTATTTAATAAAATGGGTCATTCCAGAAAATATCCATTCATTCCCCACAAAGTAAACTAACCTCCAACTCCCCATTCCCTTCAGATAAACTAGTACACTCATGCACCATATCAGAAACAATATCCTCCATGTTTCCCTCAGAAATTACCTCTGTGGGGGGAGTGTGGATATTTTCAGGAAAGATCCAATACTTTTGAAAAAGTTCATCAAATGTGATATAACAACTATTAAAGATGGGACAAAAACAAAGTGTATTAATAGTATCATTTGTCACAGCTATCAATCTGAGCTGTCAGAGTCTTCTTCATCAGAGTGGTCACTAAACAAAACCTCTTGAGCATCTTCACCAGTGCCCAATGATCCAATGAATTTCAAGTATGCAATGTTTCGTAAAATAACTGGATCCATATTTGAACACTGATAAAGACAAGTTTCTATATGCTCTACTTCATGCTGAATGGGGACTCTGTGTTTATGTTATTACCCTACAAGAAACCAAGGAGAGAATCATCCTCATAAGTCCGGATAATGTTGACATGGATATATTTCTCGATTTCATATCACAGGAAAAGGAGTATCTACAATTTACACCAAGAATTCAATTGGACAAGTGGCTAGTCGAAAGTATTCTTAATACCTTTGATTCTGAATGGGATAGGCTAGTTGGAAGAGTTCTGCTGGGATTGGATCGGTCAAGAAAGGAACTGAAACATCTTGGTATTAATGAAGAAGATGTTACAAAGAATACTGAAAAGGTAATTATGAACAAATTACCCTTCGATTGGCAAGAAGACTTTTATTATAATACCAAGACATATATTAATAAAAAGGCCATTTACAGGATTTATTTTGTCTCCAATATTAAATTGAACCACCTGGCTATATTCATAATTTTAAAAATATATGTTTTCTCTTATCTATAGGTGTTGAATGTTGTTGAAGATATCTCCCAAGCAAATATTACTGCCAAGGAACAAGTTGAACTTCATCTCCAAGAGAAAATGAAAAGTCTTGAAGATCAGTTACAAAAGAAGAAAGATTTAATTAAACAAAAAGTCACTTGGCCCCAATATATTCTTAATGATATCAAGTCTTCCATCACAGATTTGAAAGGAAGAGTAGCAGATATTGACAACCTGCTGTCACCTGAAACAAGTGCCCATAAGCAACGTCTTAATCAAATGCGAAAACGTAAAGCATCTCAAATTGTGGAAGAAAAGCGTTATAAACGGAGGAAATTGACCAATCAGGGAGCACCAAGGAAAATTAATGATGAAGAGGAGGAATTCCTAGCAAAATGCATAGAAGATAAAGCGACTTACCATGGTAGACGGCATGATCTGGTTATGTACACAAATCGCCGAGTCAAATCAAGAGATCTGCTTAATATTGCAAATTATAGACTATTAAAATCGGGAAAGAAGATGATCAAATCTGCAACAACAGTTTACAATCGTTGTAAGCCAAAGAGTAAAAGATCCATTCAAGCTAAAAAGCATATTGGTAAAAGTTTGATGTGTTTTAAAAAGCCACCGAAGGCTGAAGACAAGGACAATGAGAATACTCATTACCAGAGAGCCCATGTGAAAAACATTAAAATGTCATTGTTCTCAGAAAGTGCAGGAACTGTTAAGGATTATTCATTGCTCCACAGTATGGATGACAAAGCATATCTGCGCCCTGGCACTGGGGAAGGATTTGCAGGTGCACAAAAGCGAAAGATTCTTACAGTTGCAGATGCAGAAAAGGCAAGAAAGCTTCCAAAGTAGGACTGGCCACAGCAATTAGTATATCAAACACCTGCATCGCACCGGATCATGACCAAGGAGAGAATGACCAAGAATGCATAGATAGTTGCGGAAGAGTTAGTAAAACGGATAGATGGGGCTCCTGTACTTGGTGAGTACATCCATTGTCACTTATCTGAGGAACCAAGTAAAATGTTCTTTTTTAATAAAGACAATTTACAGGCTTACCAGAATGCCAGCACAGAAAAGAAAAAATCAGTACCTGGTTCTGGATACATAGACAAAATAATGCAGTTCATGTCATCCCATTATGTATATGGTAACCTATTCATGGAGTATGTCAAGTTTTCATGTTCCAATTCCACAGAAAATGCTAGTCTATGTGAGTTTTGTTCCACTAATAATTGGATAGGTCCTCCTGCAGATCGGATCCCACAACCGGTTCCAGATGACAACAATCCTGGACATTTCATGGATGTGTTTAAAACACCAGTGAAAGATAGACAGCCAGATGACTGGCAGCCAGCCAAGAGCATACATTAAAAACATGTACAACAATGGTGAGATAACCCTGAATGACGAGGAGCTAATTCAGCAAATGTCTAGGAAATTGAATGTTGAAGTCTGTCATGTTGTTCAGTCTATCGAACATTTGAGAAACCTTGAGGCTAGTAAGAGAAGAAGAGAAAAGGAAAATGAAGAGAAGAACAAGAGGAGGTTTAACATGAAATACGAGGATTATGATTGGATTGATTTAGTGGTTTCCGGAAAGATAAACAAATTGTATTCTGCTGAGTTAGACAAATATTTAGTAGAACATCAATTGAATACTAAGTGTAGAAAATCTGACAAAATTAAAGCTGTTACAGTTCATGCCCTAAGAGCTGGTGCTACAGTGGTTGTTATAGAGAAGCAGAACGTTTACAATGACAATTGGGAGTCAGATAATGAAAGTGATTCTGAAAGTACCATAGAAAGTGACTGTAGTGATGATGAACTTGATGTAGTGTATAAAGATTTAGATGATAGCACTGATGGCGAGGACCTGGAAGAAGATGTCCCTCTGATTACAACAACTAGATATGGTAGGACTGCAGGAACTTGGAGGCTTGGGAACATAATATGAGCTTGTGAAGGTACAAATGATTATATTTGACATTCAGTTAGTGCACCAAATATGCACAGTACTGTTTATACTATAGTGGCCTAGCTAGTTACTGTTTATATAATAGTGGCCTAGCTATATATTTTACATATATACATATATATTATTATATATATGTATATATGTAAAATACTGGTATAATTTTGAAATTGGGTTGGGTAAAATAAAAATCCAAGTCATGCGATAGTTGGGTAGGGAAAAAAATGGTTGATCGAAAGGGTGGGTGGTTGTTTTTTTCTCTTTTTGATTAGTTTCTCTTCGGTACCAACCCCGGGTATAAATAATGAACACTCCCTTAGATCTAACTTAACTTTCACACAACATTACTTTTCTATCCGGAATAAGAGCATGTGGTGTAAACGTTGGTTTAACATTGAAATTTAACATTCCAGGATGTCATGCGACACCTTCTTAGCAATGTTAGATTTCAACGTTGTAGCAATGTTAATGTGTAACGTTTGGACGTGACATCAAAACAACGTCGTCCTGACGTTAAGATTTGATATTTTCGCAACGTTCCGGGATGTCATACAATATCTTCATAGCAATGTTAGATTTTAACGTTGTAGCAACGTTAATGTGTAACGTTTGGATATGACATCAAAACAACGTCGTCTTGACATTAAGATTTGATATTTTCGCAATATTCTAAAAAAATTAAACATATGTCTTCTATTATTGAACCTGACAGTTAAACTATAGGTATAAAACCGCATCAGCCCATGTGACTTCTTATGCCTATTCAGCAGGAATCGTGAGGAACGTCGCCTTGGTTACTGGAAATTTTGTCCTGAAAACGTTTTATCCAACTGATTTTAAGCCTTTGTATTTGGCAGCTTATCAACAACTCGCCAAATATGGTAATTCTGACCATATATATGTAAAGTGTTTGAGCTGCGGGCAAATTGAAAAGATTACACCATTATTCTTGGCTTGCGACGCAACTGAAATGTATGCTGACTCTGTAATCTCATCGAAGCTACTGTATATTTCAGAAGAACTCGCTTGTCTGTTTTGTTTTGGATGTAAGTATATATATTGTATCTGTAACATTTGAAACTTCCATGTGTCTATCTCATGTATGGAAAAAAGGCGAACAAAGTATATTTATTTTGATATGTGTCTGCATGTTTGTTTGACGCCATATTAATTTACATTTTACAGCGCCTCTCTTGAATCGAAGATATATTTCAGGAGTACTCGTTCATTTGTCAATGAAATCCAAGAATAACTAATTAGTATACTGTATATATTAAATATTAAACTGCCTGTGCCAGTGTAGGTGGGGATGCAACTACCTGAAACTATACATATAACGAGAACTAGAAGAATTGTGACGTTTCAAAATTTTCCTTATATTGTTCAGGTAATTCTGTAATTTAAACTACAGACTGTTATTCAAGCACAGTAAGTCAGTATTACGTACGTGTATTAAGGTAATAAAATGTGGCCTGGAAAAAGTTCTGTCGCACAAGATTGTTCAGGTAGTTACATCCCTACCAACGAAAGCTTGTTCGTATACCGAATTAAATATTATTGTCAATATTCATCCAAACTATAAATTGGATCAGTAATTTTAGCCTATATATTATTTGTAAATGAAGCTCTTTCCTTAAATAAAATGATTAAATCAAAGA